CACTCTCAGTAAAAGCCGATCCCACCTAGTACCCACAAGGCCCTACATAATCCGGCCCCTCAACTTTTTGTCCTCTTCTCCCTCTCTCCCTTCACTCTCTCCACACTAACCACAGTGTCTTGCTGCTCCTGGAATCCGCCAGGTACACTCCTGCCTCAGGGGTTTTACAGTTCCTGTTTCCTCTGCCTGGAAAACTGTTCCCCTAAACAGCCACATAATCCACTCCTTCACCCCCTCCTTCTCAGGGAGGCCTCTCTGGTTATACTACATAAAACCGCAGCCCTTGTCCCGGCCAGTGTAGTTCAATTGATTGAGAGTTGCCCCATGCACCAAGAGGTCCTTGGTTCAATTCCCAGTCAGGGCACATACCCAGCTTGTGGGCTCCATTCCCAGTAGGGGACATGCAGGAGGCAGCCCAATGATGTTTTTCTCTCATCGATGTCTCCCTCTCACTCTCACTCCTTCTCTCTCTCTCTAAAAAAAATAAATAAATAAATAAAAACTAATTTTAAAATATGTGCAGCCCTCTCCCCACAACCCCAAACACCCCTTATTTCCCTTTTCCTTGATGTAGTCTAAGCATTTATGATCATCCAGAACACTGCGAACTTTACTAATGTATCTTGCCTGTTGTCTCTCTCTCCGGACTAGAATGTAAGCTCCCTGAAGACATAGATATTTTAGTCTGTTTTATCCAGTGTTACAGCATTTAAACCGGCATGCCACTTTATAGGCACTCAATAAATATGTGTTGGATAAATGAATGATCGCACATAGATAGTCACTCAACCATTCACTCGGCAAGCAGTGGCTGCCCCACCCATCCCACGATGGCTGACATTAAGTTTCAGGCTGGAGTTCTGAGAAAGATCAAAGCCACCTGGCCCTGCTGGGAGAGGGAGCAAGCATCAGTGACCAAAGACCATGGAAGGCAATGCTGAGGAGCACTGAGGATGGGAGAGGGTCAGGCCTACCAATCCGGGAAGGCTCCGTGGAGAGAGAGTGCTCAGCCGGTCCTTGAAGGCCCAGAGTGATTGGGGCATATGGGAAAGGGGTGGGGGCAACAGAGAGAGGCCCCAGATGCGGGAAGCCTGGGGCATGTCCTGGAAATCCAGAGGGGACCTGCATGGCCGGACTGCGTGGGGATACGGCTACTAAGGTTGTCAGAGAGTCTACGAAGGGGCTTTTTAAAAATATATATATTTTATTGATTTTTACAGAGAGGAAGGGAGAGAGATAGAGAGCTAGAAACGTCGTTGAGAAAGAAACACCGACCAGCTGCCTCTTGCACACCCCCTACCGGGTGTGTGCCAGCAACCAACATACATGCCCCTGACCGGAATCGAACCTGGGACCCTTCAGTCTGCAGACCGACGCTCTACCACTGAGCCAAACCGGTTTTGGCCTATGAGGGGCTTTGAACCCCAGGATGAAGAGAGGCACCAGAGAGCCATGCAAGGCTTCGGAGCAGGGAAGGTCCTTGGTGCCGCTGGCAGAGTGGGAAGAACAGATTGTGGTGGGTGGGCAGGAAGTGGCTCCCAGAACAGTCTTGAAGAGTGGTTGGCAAACCACGGCTCGCGAGCCACCTGTGACCAACACCCCCACTTCTTCTTACGCCACTTCTTCAAAATAGACTCGCCCAGGCCGAAAACCGACTTCTGCGCATGAGCCACGAAGTTTCCATCGCACTGTACGTGCCCGCCCGCCCGCACATGGTATTTTGTGGAAGAGCCACACTCTAGGGCCCAAAGAGCCGCATGTGGCTTGCAAGCTGCGGTTTGCTGACCACTGGTCTTGGAGAAAGACAGTCAGGCAAAGGACAGAGGGGACCGAGAAAAGTGAGTAGTGGGCAGTTTTAGGGTTTTATAACCCCTTTGGGGAGAAGGAGCTGGAGCCCGGATCTCAAGTCAGAACGCTCAGGGGGGCTTCAGAGAAACCACGGGACCGTGGTGGCGGTGGGGGGTCTGTGGGGAGGTCCAGAAGAAGCACCGCTTCTGCGAAGCTGGCCTTCTGGCCGCGGAGGCTCAGCACCGCTGGGCATGGTGCCAGGGCCGAACACGAGCCACAGGCGGGAGCAGCTTCCAGCGCTGGAAGACGGATGCATCCTGGCCTCCTTCCTCCCTGCCCCTCGGCCCCTCACCCGGCAGGCCCGGAGGAAAGCGTCTCCAGCTGGCTCCGTCAGCCAAGACGCAATGTCATTTCGAGATGAGCCATCCAGCTCTGGAAACGTGCCAGGCTGTGGGAGGGGGGACAGCTGTGTCCCCAAAATACAGCCAAGGAGCTGCCTCCCAGAGCCAGCCAAGCAGTGGCAGAAGCAGAGCTGACAGGGGGTCCACGGCCCAGCCAATGCCGGGACAGGCCTCTGACGGGCCTCCATCTGCCTGGGCCCAGCCCGCCTGCAAGGTCAGGCCCATCCGGGTCCCACCGGCTGGAGACGATGGTCCCAGTCACTCTTCTGCTCCCTCAGCCAGAAGGCATGAGGCGTCTGTCGGTGCCACGTATATGCAGGCTGTTCCTCTCCCATGCAGGTGACAAAGGTCAGTGCACGAAGGACACAGACTGCATCGTCTGCGGGGCTGAGTTTGGGTTTTGTCTGTTCTGTTCTTTGGGTGGCTGCCTCCGGGCCTCAGTTTTCCCATCTGCCAAGTGGGCATGAGAAAAAGCCTTCCCCGTGAAGGTGTCATAAAGACCAAGTAAGAACAGAGGGGAAGAGGGATGCTAACGGGATGGCTCTCGAGGATTCTCAGTGGAAGCCCAGCCAGAGCTCAGGACTCAGGTGAGAGGCTCCACCCCTTACAAGAGGCGCTGGACGCACCCTCAGGGATTGGAGAGAGGAGTGGAGCCCCGGCTGGTACAGAAGGCCGGAGGCTTAGGCTGGAAGGGTCTCCTTGAAGTACGAGAAAGCTGAGTGAGGGGCCTTGGCGACGCACTCACAGACCGGGCAGTGCCCGCCAGGAAGGAGGCTGACCTCGCCCTCTGGCTGGACGCTAGTGACGTGCTGACCTTCCCGCACCAGGGCCACCCAGGGGCACCCACAAAGGGCATCCTCGGGGTATCTTGAAGCATGCCAGCTGGCCCTGGGAGGACAGGACCCTGGGGCCTCAGGGGAGGCTGAGGACAGCAGTGCCAGAGGGAGCAGCCCGCAGTGTGGGGTGAGGAGAGAGGGCAGGGGTGGGGGCAGTTGCACTTCCTGAGTTCATTGGGGGCGAGGGGGGGGAGGAGTTAAACAAACACAGAGAGGAGACAGGCTTGCTGGTCGGGTCACGAGAGGAGCCCCACAGGGTGCCTGTGGGGACACAGGGTCTGGCAGGAAGGTTGGAAAAGCACCATCTGACAGAGGCGGAGGGAGAAGCAAGAGGCATCAGTGACCGTCAGCTGCATCAGGGAGCAGCGCAACACTGAGGCCAGGGCCCGGGTCCCTAACACCCAGAGATGTGGCCCAAAGCCAGGCGTCCGCCAGCTCCTGGGCACCCGCTGCATGGAGGGCACGCACAGTCAGCCAAACAACCCAGCTCCCATTTGGGGTCATGCCCCACCCCACCCCCCATCTGCCCAGCCCTGGAGGGGTCAGGACCCTGGGGAAGGAGCAGTGTGGGGACAAGGACCGAGATGGGACAGGAAAGCAGAGCTCCCCCCTCTCCCCCGCACCCAATGCCATCTGGGCCCGGATAGACGCTTTATGGGGAAGTAGAAACCAAGTTTCCATGTAAACGGGCCTGGCTTGTTAGCCCAGGAGTGCGACTGGAAAAGCCGTGAGAGCTGGTAGCAGGAGAACCGGAAAGCTGTTACCGATTAACTTTCTTTGTTTTCCTTTTTTTCTTTTCTTTCTGAGTCCAGTCTGCTCAGTGAACCCTGCACACGCATGCAGGGGCCTCCGTGTCCATGCGGGGGGGTCTCACCACCCTGGGACCAGGGACAGGGAGGCGCCCAAGCCTGCCGTCCATCCGTCTGTCCGGGGCGAGGCTGCAACATCTTCCCAGTGTCGGCGCCCTCCCCATCGGGAGGGTTCGTCTGGGCTGGCGCTTTGGGGGCAGGGACACGCTGCACACACATACGTGTGTATGTGGCTGCAGCCCCACCCATGTGCGCCACGGTGCCTGAGGGACCCATACGTGCACTAAGCCCCAGTGGGAACTGCACTGAGAGAGACAGAGAGGAGTCTGGAGAGGGTTTTGAAGGCGGCGGGCTCTGATCTGGGTCTTGCAGAAGAAGGATTGCCAGGGGCACAGATAGAATGGTGCTCCTGGCAGCGGCCCCGACATAGCAAGGCTGGGAGGCATGAGCACCTGGCACTGGTATAGAGCGTGAGGCGCATGTGTGGATCATGGACCTGGAAAACGGGACAGCATCACAAGGGTCACCTTAAAAGCAGTGTCTGCATGGCTGTGGCCGAGCGAGGCCTCACTCTCCCCATCTGTAACCTGAAAGAATCACCCTCCTTCTTCACGTCCTGGGAACAAGTGAGTCTCCGTATCTCCAACCAGAGCGTTAACCAGGAGCTCGGAGAATACACTTTTGAGTCGGAAAGGCTTAGGCCAGTGGTCGGCAAACCCATTAATCAACAGAGCCAAATATCAACCGTGCAGCGATTGACAGTTCTTTGGAGAGCCAAATTGCTTAAACCTAAACTTCTTCGAATGCCACTTCTTCGAAATAGACTCGCCCAGGCCATCGTATGTTGTGGAAGAGCCACACTCAAGGGGCCAAAGAGCCGCATGTGGCTCGCAAGCCGCAGTTTGCCGACCACTGGCTTAGGCTCAAATCCCAGTTGTTCCCCTTCCGAGCTGGGTAACTCTCGGTACGTGTCAGCTTCCTCATCTGTAAAATGGGAATAACAAGCCCCACCCGGAGGAACTGATCCACCTGATGCTCGTAAAGACCTGACACAGTGTGAACCTTTAGCAGGCAGGAGTTCCCACCCCACCCCATCGCACCCCATCCCACCCTATCGCACCCCATCCCACCCCATCTCACCCCGCCTCCGACGGGCCCTCACTCACGTAGGCGGCCAGGAGAGTGGTGGGGGCCAGGATGAGAGCCAGGTAGAGGCAGACGGCTGCAGCGAGCAGGCTAGAGGCGCAGATGAGGGGCTCGGCCCGCGGGTTGACTTTCTTGTACCTCCTCGAAGCCTCTGCTCCCAGGACCACCCCAATGATGCCAGTCACAACGGTCAGTGCCCCAAAAATCAGGCTGGGGGGAAAGAACAGAGAGGGATTGGTCAGTGGGTGGGTGCAGCCACCAGCCGGCCGCTGTGCATGATCTGGGACCCAACAGAAATGTGTCTGTGGGCCCATTCCCTCCCCGCTGACCAGTGCTCCTAGGCCCTTGGGGACCTAAGCAGGAACCCAGGACCTCTCCACTCCCTTTCCTGCCTCACTCTGGGGATGCCCAGCACCCCAGTTCCCAGGCTTCTTCAACCCCAATAACCTTCTCCATCCTCTCACCACCCGAAACTATCCCACTCGGATTCTCAATTCTATGGTCCCAACCTTACCCCAACCTCCTCACCTTCTCTCCCCAATACTAATGGGAATGGAGGCAAGTGAACATTTATCTATTGAGTTCCCATGATTCTCAGCCCTGATCTAGACATTCTGCACACCCTCCCTCCTGGAATTCCACCTTCCACTCTCTGTCCATGAACGCCTCTCTAGTAGCCCCCTCCGACCTTCACTGCCTTTCCCACCTACTCCTGGGCTATGTCAGCGCCACGTGGCCCCTCTCGTACCTCCCTCCTGTGGACACCTGCCTCTCCAAAACAACTTCCATACAGGTCCCCAGAGGGTGCTTTCCAGAACACAGATCCGACTGTCCCCCTACCCACCCCCCGCCTAACATTCTCCACCAGCTCTCAAACACCTACCAGGTTTGGTGCCAACTCCTGGCATACATGGCCCTTCATGATCTGACCCTGGCTGACCTCAAGCCCAACCCCCGGCTCCATCCTCCTCTGCTTCCAAATTCGTTATCATTCCCACTTCATACTTTTATTCCTCCATCTGGACACACTTCACTAGTTTTTGCACCTACTGAAACTCTTACTCATCCTTCAAGACCCATCCCAACGATCTCCTCTCTGGAAATGCCTTCCCCTGGCCCTCTGCTGATTCATTTATTCCCTTCAGTTATCATCGCACTTTTTTTAAAAATATATATTTTATTGATTTTTTACAGAGAGGAAGAGAGAGAGATAGAGAATTAGAAACATCAATGAGAGAGAATCATCGATCAGCTGCCTCTTGCACACACCCTACTGGGGATGTGCCTGCAACCAGTGTACATGTCCTTGATCGGAATCGAACCTGGGACCTTTCAGTCCGCAGGCCAACGCTCTATCCACTGAGCCAAACTGGTTTCAGCACCATCGCACCTCTGTGTCTCTGTCATCAAGGTGTGACCTGTGAATTCCCGGAGAACAGAGATCAGGTTGGTTTACTTTCTTGACGATGCTGGACGTCAAGAGATACATGCTGAGCAAATGAGCTCCTTGAACCTTCCCAGAATGCCCAGGTGGACAAATGAGGAAAGTTAGACTGGAAAAGGTTAAGGTCAAGATAACCCCGCTAATAAAAGACAGAGGAAGGATTTGAACATACATCTTCTTCTCCTGGTCCATCCCGCTCTCCCAAGCCTCCTCTTAAAGGAGCTCAAAGGGATTCCGAAACTGACCAACATGATGTCTTGAAAACACTAATGTAACCAGAACCTTCCCAGCCTCCAGGTGGCTCCCTGTTGTCCTCAGGGCAAGCTCTTGGCCAGTATTGCCCCCTCCCCCCCCCCACACCTGTGTAACTTCCCCTCTCTTCTTTCTCCCTCCCTCTGCACAAAGGACTGGGAATTCTCTAAGCTTACCCTAAGCTTTCTAGCTTCCCTGCCTTGGCCCACATTCTTCTCTTGGCCTTGAGTACCATTTATCTTCCCCTTCCCCCCACAGCTCCTCCACCTGGCCAGACCCAAGCATTTCCAGAAGTTCATGGGGTGTCCGGTGCCCTGCCATTCCCTGCATAGTGGCTCTCACAAGATGTGAGAACATGAGAGATGCAAGACTGTGGTTACTGGCAAATTGAGTGTCACAAGAAACTCCTCTCCTCTAAACGACTTCAGTAAAATGTCCATTCCATAGTAGTCTGTTTGCAGAAGGAAGTATAGAGCCCAGAGTGGGCAGGCACCTGACTGAGGTCACACAGCCCCTTCTGGCCTCCACAGAGGGCTTCCTGGCCCTCTGCCTCCCAAAGCATGTGTGGGTCCTTCAGCAGCTTAAAGGCGCTCACGGAACCCTCCCCGCTTCCACTCTGTGCAAGGCTCCGGCTCAGCCCAGTCAGGTGACCCAGAATCCCGGATGAATGTGATCTGCCTGAGCCCTTGTCTGAGCCCGGTGTTGGCAGATTTTCGAGACCAAGACTGACTGGTGTTAGGGCTGATTATTCAGACAGGCTATGTAGCCAGGGGAGACCCCTAAGCAGAGGGTGTGGCCACAGGACACACCGGGCCACCAAGCCCCTAAGGCCTATCCTAACCACAGAGGGCATCTTACTAGATGGAGTCTGTGCAGAACTTCAACCCTGGGCACTTTTACCCACTCTGTGACAGGCTGTATAACGCCACCCCACCACCCCCAAGATGTCCCCATCCTATTCTCTGGAACCTGCGAATATTACCTCGTATGACAAAATGTGATTGCACCAAGGACCTTGAGAAGAAGCCATTATCCTCCATTAAATAGTGGGCCCTAAGTGCAATCACAAGTGTCCTTATAAGAAGGAAGCAGAGCCCTAACTGGTTTGGCTCAGTGGATAGAGCGTTGGCCTTCGGACTGAAGGGTCCCAGGTTCGATTCCGGTCAAGGGCATGTACCTGGGTTGTGGGCACATCCCCAGTGGGAGGTGTGCAGGAGGCAGCTGATTAATGTTCCTCTCTGATGTTTCTGACTCTTTATCCCTCTCCCTTCCTCCCTGTAAAAGATCAATAAAATATTTTTTTTTTAAAAGAAGAAGGAAGCAGAGGGAGATTGGAGACAGAAGAGGAGACGCCAAGTGTCTGCGGATGTAGAACCTGGAGTGATGCAGCCACAGACCAAAGCATGCCGACGGCCACCAGGCGCTGGAAGAGACAAGAACGGTTCCTCCATGGCGCCTGCGGAGGGTCTGTGGCCCGTGAAACCATTTTGGACTGCTGACCTCCAGGACGATGAGAACATCGTCTGTCTCTGTAAGCCACCCGGTGCGTGGTGGTTTGTTACCCCAGCCCCAGGACTCTATAAGAAACTTTCACGTCCGTTTCCTACACAAGTTCCATGAAGGGGCTGAGACAGAAGAGGCTGAAGCTGAGAAAAGGGGAGGTAAGATGCCCAGAGAATACAAAGCCCGCTGATGCTTGAGGTGGAGTACTGTTTCCCCCGCTTTTTCAAGCTGCTGTGGGGCTGTTATGACTCAGTCTTTGCCTCCAGGGAGATAGCAATCTCCAAGACAAACATGGCAGCCTCGTTTGATGCATCCATTCGTTCCCTCCCGGGGGCTTTCCCTGTGCACCCGCGGGGTGAGTGCCGGGAAGCTGCTCCCAGCCAAGTGGAGAGATGGTCAAGTCCATTCGCAGTAAGCAGAGTCTCCAGGGGCAACAGGAGGTGGAGCTTCAAGGCACCGACTTTGGCGTCAGGTGGGTTGGAATCCTGGCTCTGTTACCTGTTAGCAGTGTGACCTTGGACAAGTCACTTACCCTCTCGGGTCTTTCATCGCCTCGTTTGTCTCACAGGAACAACAGGGCTAATTATTATAAAACCTCAGGTTGCTTTTCCCTAGGATGCATAGCTTAGGGCCTGAAGTGAAATGAAAGCCTAAGGAGTAACAAGGAGAGAAGGGGAGGGAGCTGTGGGCAGAGGGTGTCGCTTGAGCAAGGGCACAAACAGTGAGAGGGCATGGGTCAGCCTGGACATCGCAGGGAGCTCTCCCTCTGGCCATCCGGGAGTGAGGAAGAGGCCAGGAAGGGACCAACGGAGAACTGGCGTCACTAAAGCCTCAGGGCGCACAGAGCTCCGGGAAGAAAGAGCTCAGAGCCCTGAGGACTCTGAAGGGCCCGTGGGGCAGGGGCAGAGAGGAGGAGGGACTGAAAGCATCAATTAGAAGGAGGAGAAAGTAGGATTAAGGGTTTCAAGGAGGAGGTGAAAGCAAGTAGGAGAGGACCGAGAGATGCTCTCTCAATCAGGAGTCACTGAGTCCTTGGAGAACGGGGTGAGGAGGGCAGAGAGCGATAGGGCACTCACTGAGGAATCCTCCCCGCCCTCCCAGCAGCCTTCCTGGATTCTCAGTGCCCCGAATGAGGGAAAGAACAAATGAAAGCTTGGGTGAAATCCCTAAGCCAGCTGACTAAAGAGGCCTCCCAGTGCCCTGGTTTGCCATCTGCATACTATGGGTCCCTTCAAAGGAAATGTGCCTAAGTGTCCCTTCATGCTCACTCCGGCCCCGTGTGCCTTCTGGACCCCCACTACAGTCCAAGAGTGGGGAGACAGGGACTGGGGTCCAGGGAGCCGCCTCAGGACACGCAAGGTGGCTGGGGCTCAGCCAGAGTCAGACCAGCCTCCTGCTGCCAGCTGCTCCCGAGCTCTGGGGTCTTCGCAGAGCAGCCTGGGCCCAGACAGATTGAGTTTGGGGGCTCGGAACCTCCTGACACCCCTCCACCAAGACTCCCCTCACCTGGGCCCGGTGCCCAGGGCTCCCAGAGGCCTCACCTGTCCTTGCTGTCACACGGCTGCTGGAAGCAGGGAGGCTGCAGCCCGTGCACCACGCGAGCCTCAAACAGAAACTTGGGGGCCCAGAAGCCCACAGCTCCCGTCACAAAGGCCATGGCTGTCACTCCAAGGGTCGACCACACAAAACTCCAGCTGCAAGAGAAAGCACCCTGGCTGAAGCAGGGAGAGGGCCAGGGTGCAGGGGGCGTCCACTTCTGCTGTTCCCCTTCTCCCATCGTCTGGGCACTCAGGTGGACTCAGGTGGGCTCCGCATCCTACCCAGTACCCCCGAAGAGGCCAGTGAAAGGGCCAGCAGAGAACTGGCGTCACTAAAGCCTCTGGCGTCACTAAAGCTACCCGCTCACGTCCCACCTCCACACCTTTATCATGCCTTGCCTTCCTCCTTCCCCTAGGACCAGCTCCCCAGCCTGAAAGGCCCACATCCAAAACCACATTCTCCAGAAGCTGCCCTGCAGCCCCCCACTCCCCCCCTTCCTCCAGTGCCCTCCTTCGGCCTTGTGGCTCTGTAACAAACAGCCTGGGTCCTGGTGGTGGCCCACATTTGGGTAAATCATGAGGCCTAAGAGAGCAGTTGCCCACCCCCACCCCCTCTTTCTCTCCCCCCCCCCCCCCCACCATGCCTGGAATTGAGGCTGGGTGCACTCCCAGGAGGCTCAGAGAGGTAAGTGATTAACTCCCGCCATCCTCCCAGCAGCCCCAGAAGCAGGCGAGGCTGGAGAATTACATCCATTAAGGAAAGTGAGGCTCTAGGTCTCAGGTCATTTCGGGCTAAGGCAGCGGCAGAGCCCAGGCTGGAGTGCACGCTACCCCCTCCCCTCTCCCTCCTTCCCTCCCTCCCAGCCCATATTCTGTCACGTGGCTGGGGTTGGGGGTGGCCTCCAAGCGAGGGAGGGGCATCTCGGTGGGTGAGTGGGAGCTCAGAGGAGAAAGAAACGGCTGTGGACTTGGGCAGTCACGCAGGGCTCCCTGGAGGCAGAAACGGGGAGGTCAGGGATGCTGGGGCAGACAGCGGGTTTCAGGGACAAGCAGGAAGATGCAGGGACACTCACTTTCTCCCCAGGTATCTGACATCCTCACACCAGGTGCTCCTCAGGGCCCCCACCTCCCTCTGCTTCTCGGCAGCTCCGCGAGGCGGGTCTGGAACCAGCGTGAGCAGCAGGATCAAGGCCACAGCTTCCAGGCAGGGCATGATCTAGGGGCAGGAAGACCCGGGTAAGCTCAGTGCCTCAAGCACCTGTGGTCCACGGACGTTAGGGTGACTGAGCCCTGTGGCCCAGGCTCTTGGGGTGCTCTGTGCCCTGGGGGTGATGGGAGGAGGGCTCAGTTCCTGGGTGCTGGTTATACGGAGCCTAACAGTGTCCTTGGGGGAAGCGTTGATACCTGTCGGTCCAGTGCAGACCCTGCTCTGGAGCCCAGACTATTGTGTACTTGCTGCCCCCTCCCCTCCCTCTGCCACGCCCGTCCTGCCCTGGCATCTTTCCATCTTGTCTCCTTAATCTCAAGAGTTCCTAAGGCAGCACTTCCTTCCTCGTCTTACAAATAGGCAAACTGAGGCTCCTGAGAGCGAGGTAGTTTGCTTCCAGTCACACAGCCAGCAACCTGAGTGGCCAGCACTTGAACCCAGGGCCATGGCTTCCACAGTCCACATTCCATAGGAGGCCCGGCTGTCTGAAGCTGCCGGCACTGATCACCCCACCACCACCACCACCATGGCGCCGGGTACGGGGCCAAGTGGCAAAGGCCACCGGAGGCTGGAAAGTCCCCTCGGCCCAGGGGGAGAGCGGAGGGGAGAGCTGAGGGGAGAAACGGGAGCTGGACTCACCCGCAGGGCCCAATGCCAGTTCCCTGTCAGCGCCTTCACCGCTGACCCCAGCACGTAGCCCAGACCGCTGCAATGGAAGGGCAAAGGCGATGGGCGACGAGGGCAGCATGGCCAGCGGAGCCCAGGGCCCCCACCCCGGCGAGCCGGCCCCTGCAGCGATGGCCCCTGCCCTGGGGAAGTGAGCCACGTGAGGCCCAGGTGTCCGCTGCCCTCGGTCAGGCCACCGGCGACCCCTGGCTCTTGGCCCACCCATCCCAGTACCACTGTCTGTCCTCGCCCGAGCCCAGCTCTGCCTGAGTCAGGTGATACCAGAAAACCTGGGTCAGCCAAAACCGGTTTGGCTCAGTGGATAGAGTGCCGGCCTGTGGACTGAAAGGTCCCGGGTTTGATTCCGGTCAAGGGCATGTGCCTTGGTTGCGGGCACATCCCCAGTAGGGAGTGTGCAAGAGGCAACTGATTGATGTTTCTAACTCTCTATCCCTCTCTCTTCCTCTCTGTAAAAAAATCAATAAAATATTTTTTTTTTTTAAAAAGAAAACTTGGGTCAGAGTGCTTGGGGCCTCACTGTCAGCCCCACGCTGTCCTGCCAGCAGTGGGGACACTGCCCAGCCCTAGTGCACGTCCCTGCCTCCCCTCAGAGCCCCCCTCTCTGAATAGCCCCCCACCAGGCTGCTCTTGCTCCCCCTACAAAGTGCACTAGCATGTGGGGAGCACCTGTATTCTCTCCAAACCTCCCCACAGCCCCCAGCTTCCTGTCCCCATTCACAGATGGGGAGTGGAGGCTCAGAGAGGGAAGGTGGCCTGGTGGGTGAGAAAGGCCCCTGCTCTGACTCCCCTGGGCCTCAGTTTACCGCCCCAAGAAGTGGGTCCAGGGGCCTACTGACCTTCCAACAGGAATGAAGATGTAGAAGATAGCCAGGACCCGGGTCCGCTGGTCCCTCACAAACAGGTCGGCCAGGATGGTGGGCGCGAGGGTGGAGTAGCTGGCGGCACCGATGCCCACCGCTCCCCGGGACAGGAAGAAGAGCCAGGAGTACTGGGCGGGCAGGCAGGTACGAGAACACGGTGCGTTCCAGACACCACCACAGGCAGGGAACTCGGGGGCTTGTCAGAGGGGCCAGGGCGCTTGGAGACACATGCCCCAGGAGAGGAAGAGGGGCTGCCGCTGCAGGAGGCACCGCGCTGTCCTCCCAGCTCACGTTCCTTCCCCAAGTCACACGGGCGCCCCCTGCTGGCGCCTGCGGCTGCTGCCTGCCCTGAGCCCCAAGGAGCCCTAGCTCACCAGGCCAGCTGCCCCAGACTGTACGCTGGTATTACACCACCCCACCCCTGCACAGCGGGCAGAAATGAAGCCACGGCAGCAGCAGGACGTGCAAGAGCGGAAGGCTCCTGTGAAGAAAGCCTAACGGGCCCTAGCTGGTTTGGCTCAGTGGATAGAGCATCTTCCAGCCAAGGGCACATGCCCGGGGTTTTGGGTTCGCTCAGTGGGGGGCATGCAGGAGGCAACCAACCAATGATTCCCTCTCATCATTGATGTTTCTATCTCTTTCTCCTTCTCCCTTCCTCTCTGAAATCAATAAAAATATATTCTAACAAAAAGAAAGAAAGAAAGAAAACCTAACGGGCTCCTCTCTCCGCCTGGAAGGAATCCCCAGCCAGCCTGGAGCCTGGAACGGAGCCCAAGCAGCCCCACCCAGCACTGATGGGGCTGGGCCAGAAAGGAGAGGGGAGGGGGGACGACACATTCCCTGGGGTCTGTGCAGGGGTGAGAGCACCTACCTGCGGGGGGATGAAGGAGCTGGAGAGGCCGGCCCCTGACCAGAGGAGGATCCCAAAGCTCAGCGTGGCTTTACGGCTATGTCGGTCACCCAGGTAGCCAAACACGGGTGCAGACAGCAGCAGGCAGCCGGTGAAGACTGGAGGGGACAGGCAAGAGGCAGCATGTATCTCCCCACAAAGGTGGGCAGGCAGATGGGCCCAGCAGACCCACAGAAGAGCGCCTTGGCAGCAGGTCAAGGCCCCCAGGGGGAAGAAAGAAGTTAAACCCTCAATCCCTTCCTAGCACATAACCCATCGCCAGAAGTCAGGGGCTGAACCCGGCTCCCAGGCTCAAACCCCAGCGTGGCTAGTTGCTCGCTGTGCGGCCTCGGGTTACTAACTCCACCTCTCTGATCATCACCCCAGCACACTCCCACACTCAGGAGCTCCTCTGAGGCTGTGAGATAGAGGTAAACATAGAGCCTGGCATAGAGCTGACAGTGTTGGTGCCCACCAGGGCCCTAGCTTTCTGCCCTCTGTGAGCCTGATCTGGGACTGCGCCTGCTGGGGGTGAGGGGTAGTAGAGGGGTGCATGCTGGGGAGTGAGGGGTGGCAGAGGGGTGCGTGATGTGCCTGAGCCCTCTTGGAGCAGATGAGCACAGTTTAGAATGAGCACATTGATTCCTGGGGGCTGGGAAGGCGTTGGTTTTCCCAAGTACGTAGAGCATTCCCCTGACACAGTCAGTTGTGTTTATACCGTTTTTTAAAGTAAACCCTTAAGAACCGGCGGCTGTGTTAATGAATCCGCTTGCTATTCTGTGAAGACAAAGAAACTGCCACGTTTTTGCATGGCTCCGCCACGTGAACAGATACCCTCCCTGGCTCTGTTCCTGAAATAACTCACCTCCACCCGCCTCGGAGGACCGTCCACTGCCTCTGAGCGCCTGCAGGTGGCGAGGGGGAGGTCTGGACCCTCCCCACACAGTCCCGCCATCCAAGGGCCTTGGAGTTCAGTGGGCCCCGCCCACTGCCTGGGCCTCTATTCACTGAGCACAATGTGATTGACATTTCCTGTGCCCAAAGACTGTCCAGATTCCTCCCGGGCTCAGGTTCCAGCCCCTCCCCCTCCAGTATTGGGTTGAGCCGCATGCAACTGCAGAAATGAGGCCAGTTTTGACCTACAAACACGAGAATTTAATATGGTTCGACCTTATTTGATGTAATAAATATATTTAATATAATACTCCACCGAGAACGGTCTTTGATGTCAATGGCATTTATAATTTTAATAGCTGCTGCCAAAACAGGCCTCCAAAAAGGCTGTATCGATTTACACTTGCACTAGAACCATATGCCAGCACCCTCGTGACACTTGATAGGATCAATCGTTTTATTTTTGCTCATCTAATGGTGGAGAAACAAATGGTGTCTCGCTGGTGTTTTAATCTGTGCGCTGTTCCCAGGGAAGTCAGCATCCTCTGCCGGTTTTCCTACTGGGCTCTTTGTTGTGTGGAAATAATTCCTCCCAGTCCTCCGTATTTGTTTTAAGGATCTAAAATGCAAGATCTGAGACTACACTACCTGGGCTCATCCTGATGCCATCCCTTCCTGGCTGTGTGGCCTTGGGCACATCCCTTAACTCTCCTGTCCGCCTCTCAACCACTCAATGACAGTAAGAGTACTTGCCTCGTAAGATGAAATAAAATAAAGCATATGAAAGGCAGTGGCTGGCTTTATATAAATGCCTAATAAATGTTACCTGTTATTACTTATTGCATGTGTCGTTTCAACCACCATCGTGCAGGACAGTTTAGCTTTGATGTCGTCAAATGTATAATCTTCCTCCAGGGAAGTTGTCTGGTGTCTTGTTAACACCAATCTTTTTTACCCAAAGGATATAGAAATAGTTCCCTAAACCTAATACTAGTATGAGAGTTGGGGCAGGGATGCTTCACCGGACAGAAACACCTTTATTAAACCTGCAGGTGCCCTGGGCTGCCCCTCAGGGGAAGGCAGGTACTCCTTTCCCTTCTAGCATCTCCAAGTTCAAGTAATTTATAGTGACAAGGTGGGAGGGAGTCACCAAGGACCACCAGGTTAGGAGGACTCTCCAGGCAGCAGCCTGGATTCGAATCCCAGCTCTGGGTGGCCTTCAGCAAGTTCCACAGCCGCTCGGTGCCTCAGGTTCACATTTGTAAAATGAGCATCATCATAATACCTGCCTCATGGGATTGTTTTGAAGATTAAATGAGTTAATATTATAGAAGCACTTAGAGTAGTGCCTGGGCCCTAGCCAGTTTGGCTCAGGGGATAGAGCGTTGGCCTTTGGACTGAAGGGTCCCAGGTTCTATTCCAGTCAAGGACATGCACTTCAGTTGCAGGTTCCCTGGCTCTGGTCGGGATGCATGCAAGAAGCAACCAATCTATGTGTCTCCTTCACTTTGATGTTTCTCTCTGTCTCTCCCTCTCCCTTCCACTGTTTCTAAAAATCAATAGATTCGAATCCTCAGGTGAAGATTAACAAAAAAAAAGAAAGAAAAGAATAGTGCCTGGCACAGGGCAAAGACCACATCAATGTTTCTTTTTAATTTTTTTTTGTTAAATATATTTTTTTGTTGATTTTGTACAGAGAGGAAGGGAGCAAGATAGTTAGAAACACCGATGAGAGAGAGCTGCCTCTTGCACACCCCCCCACTGGGGATGTGCCCGAACCAAGGTACATGCCCCTGCCCGGAATCGAACCCAGGACCTTTCAGTCCGCAGACCTACGCTCTATCCACCAAGCCAAACTGGTCCCGGCCAATGTTTCTTTTTAATATTATTAATCAACTAGAGGCCCAGTGAATGAAATTCATGCATAGGCGGGGTGGGGGGTGTCCCTCAACCCAGCCTGCACCCTCTCCAAGCTGGGACCCCTCGAGGGATGTCCAACTGCTCATTTAGGCCCGATCCCTCTGGGCCTCTTACAATCCAGGACTGCTGGTTCCCAAGCACTTGCCTGCCTGCCAGCCTGATCACTCCCTAAACACTCACCTGCCAGCCTTATTGCCCCTAACTGCCCTCCCCCGTTGGCTTGGTCCCACCAACTACTCTCCCCTGCCAGCCTAGTTACCCCAACTGCCTTCCCCTGCTGGCCTGGTCATCCCCAACCTCCCTCCCCTGCCAGCCTGGTTCCCCACAACTGTTCTCTCTTGCCAGCCTGGTCTCACCTAACTGCCCTCTCCTGCTGATCTGGTCACCCCTACTTGCCCTCCCCTGCAGACCTGTTCCCCCCTACTGCCCTTCCCTGCTGGCCTAGTCCCTCCAACTGCCCTCCCCTGCTGGCCTGCTCACCCACGACTGCCCTCCCCTGCCAGCCATCTTGTGGCAGCCATCTTGTGTCCATATGGGGGTGGCCATCTTTGACCACATGGGAGCAGCCATCTTGTGTGTTGGAGTGACAGTCAATTTGCATATTACCTCTTTATTAGATAGGATTAACTCCAGAAGTTTCTCTGTCCAACTGTGGGGGCAGGAGGTCTGACCACTGTTTCCCCTTTCCCCCACTCTGACAGCTTGACCAAGCCCTCTCTTAGCAACTTCCTTCATGCCGCAGCCCTGAGGACAGACAGCAGGGCGAGTCTTTGGGCCACTGCATGGTGACTCGGAAAGGTTAAAATACTCACCGGAGGTCCCTGGACACACACTTGGCCATCAGGCCTCCAGTCCACTACCCGCTCCATCCATACACCTTCTCGGGCTGTTTCTGCAGAGAGGACACTGCCCTTCACCCACTCCCAAATGCACACATCCACACGTCCACATCTGCACATTCCCGTCTCTCTCTCTCCCCCCTCCCTCTCTCTCATCCATACATACACACACGCACACTATTTCCTCCAAAGCACCTTGCCTATCAGGGGCCTTGCAGTAATGATACTACTCACCACGGTAAGAGCCAGAAAAGGGAAATGTTGACTCATTATCTGTGTAATCTAGAAGTTTGAGGGCACTGAGCGGAGATGATCTCGATTTAGCTACAATTATAGAGGCAGACCAGCCGCAGCCGGCGGCCTGGGACAGGAGACCTGGGAGAGCCGTGGTCTGAAGCGGCACTCCGCTATCGCTCCTGCTTGGTGCCTCCGGGAGAAGCGTATAGAATGACCCGCCCTGCACGCGTTTTCCGCTGACATTTAAAACACTTTCCTCGTACGTTCAAGTAGTTGCAAATGATGTGATTTCCAGCGTTGCCGTATTTTTTTAAGCTATATCTTCACCCAAATCCCCGAGGCTGCGGATCGAATTCATTCGCTTTATGAGACATGCCTGCCCGAGAGTCTAATGAGCAAAGCCAGACCTGATTTGCCAAACCAACAGGACAAATCAGGCTGGTTGTCTGTAAGAAAGACGTTAAAATGATGGCTTCATTTTTTTTTTTTTTTTATCGAAATAAATGTGCCCACACCCGTCCCCGGGACAACCTCCTCACTTCTGAATTCTAAATCATAGATAAATAGCCGACTGTCACGCCAGCGAGACAGCAAGATGAGCTTGGCGTCTGGCCATGGATTTGTGGCCTGGAGACAGCACCCCCCGGCTGCTCTGCTCCCAGCCAAAGCCACGCACCCCGAGGAGCCCTCTGTCTGACACCCCAGGCAGGGCACCATGGTAAGACTCAGAACGGGGAGAGGGGTCCTTTCCTGCTGAAAGGGTGGGTGGGTGATGGTTAACGCGGAGCGGGGAGGGGAGAGCCAGGGCTGCCCTCAGGCAGGTCCTCTGTAGAAGGACCTATTGATGGGTTTTCTCAAGGCACCGCTCCTGTAGCTCCGGAAAGTTTTTATGTCTCCCCAGGGGTCCCCGCACCCCAGTTTGAGAGCCCTGTTCTAAAATGCGGATATGGTGGACTGTTAGGAGGAGGAACCACGCATGTGCTGATTACTGGCCGGGGGTATTCACACATGTGTGTCCTATGTCATGACAGAGTGTGTACACATTTGGAGGGGGGGTGCATGTGCAGGCACACATGACCCCAACTGCCCCTCCTTGGAATGGGACACGTGGCTGTTCCCTGATGCTGGACTGCAGGCGCCTGTGGGCCCAGACCCTCTCTGAGTCCGTGTGTGGGGGTGGGGGTCTTTGTCTGTCTGTCTTGTCTGTGTGTCCTGGTGACCAGGTTTTTCAGGTCCATGAGAGGAAAGCCGGTGTCAGGAGTTCTCAGCCCCTGCCAGGTTCCGGTACCCGCTGAGCTGAACCAACATGAAAGGTGAGTAACCAACTCCATAGCCACGATCAGGAGCTCGGAGCCCTTTCCAGCCCCGCGCCCTGCTCTCGGCAGCACCGCACTCAGACCCGAGGACTGGCTGCTCCAGCACAAGTCTCAGCCCGCGCCATCACCTCTGCTACCGGGCTGTCCCTCTCACCCGCCGCCATCCGCGGTGCCCTCCTCTGCCTGGGGCTGAGCTATTGCTGGGTACAGAGCGGGATCTGCAGAGGATCCCAGCCCGGCCCCGACCCCGGCCACAGCCCCGGGCCAGGACTCCCTCCTTACCCGTCTGCAGCAAACCAGCACTGCTGTCACTGATGCCGAAAAACTTCTGTACATCCAGCAGCACTCCTGCGGACAGACGGACAGCGTCAGGAAATGGGAGCAGCCCACGGGCCTCTCCAGGCAACTGCCCCGCATTGGGAAAGGGCCACAGCTGAAAGGCAGCCCAGGGCGTGCCCAGGCCACTGTTCTATCCCCCCTCTCCTATACATAATACCACCACACACGCACGCGCACGCACACATACACACACAGAGACGTGTGCGCGTCAAACACATGCAGAAACAGTATCCCAAAGGCCCCGACTTATGCAGACACATTCACACACAGCACGCACTCCCAGGCACCGGCACATAGTCACACAGACACACAGACATGCAGGTCCACATACATACAAACAAGAATGCCCAGAGAAATATACTCAGAGAGACGCAGATCCACATTCACAGAGGACACAGACACACTCACACCTACACACTGAGATGTACATAAAGACACCCCCACAGGCCTGCACGCGTGTGCACCTGTGCAGGGCTGCCATTCACATCACAGCCAGAGGGACGGCGGCTCCCTGCGGCTGCCCAGTGCACAGCCACCCACTGGGCCTCAGTGTAACGGAAGTCCCTGGGATTGCGCATAGCAGCCCCGCTCACGGGCAAACCCCAGACATTCACAGACATCCATCTGCATCCAAAGACACATGTGCCGTGGCCTGCACATGCTCATGTTCTTCCAGAGGCGTGAGCACTCAGGCATGAGGGTGCACGGGAACACTTCAGAGGTAGATCCGACTTTGACCCCAACTCCCCGAGGGCGGCAGGCTCCTGCTCCGCGCTAGCCCGGTCTCTCCAGCCCCTCTGAGACCTTGCTAGGCCGTGGGCGGTGCGGCGGGCCCTCAGCCTATTGCAGAGATAGGAATCGGGCCCCTGACACCAGGCTCTGGTCCCTGAAATCCCTCAGCTCTTTGGTGTATTTTAGGATGTCGGGGCCCTAGGACCCGAGTATCTGAGTGGTGGGGCTCTGGCCCTGCCTTGATGAGGAACAATCATTACTTTCACTGGATGATGAGATGCATGAGGGTCAGACCCTGAGCTGGAAACTTGCAGCATTTTGCCAACAAGTAGGGACTAGGAGCTCCAGTGGTGCAATTGGTTAGCACGCGGTACTTATAAGAAGTGGGGACTATCTTTGTCCCCCCAACACAGTAGAGGAGACAGAGGCTCCAGCCAGCCATGCTTGCACAGCCTGAAACGGGAGAGCTGGGACCAGAATGCCAGCCAGAGGCAGTCTGCTCTCCTACCCAGAGTCACAGAAACCCCCAATGGGGCCCTGCAGAAATGCCCACAGGATGGGGGGAAGAGGAGAAGGCCCCCCATCCACACCTCCGAGACCTGTCAGCAGGCGAAGAAAGAGCAAAGGATCAGAGAAGTAAAGTAAGATTTACGTTCAGACTTTTACATCGGGCCCAATTGTCACAGCATCTAGGCATACCAACTTAGATGCCTTTTCCTTCCCTTTTCATGTTTTTAACGACACGAATAAGACAGAATCATTGGAAAGAATAAATAGGTAAGCAGGTAAGAAAAGTCAATGGCTAAATAAAAAGACCTCTCTGACCACACTCATCTTCCGTGTTTGGGGACGAGGTCCCATCCCGGGTTTGGTCCGACCTTGGGCTCCTCCCAGCCCGTGGTGCTCTGGGGCTTGGGCGCAGCCTCATTTTTTACGTTAAGCGTCACTCTGGCCTCCCACAGGGCTGCTACCCACACTTGCCGCCCTCAGCAGCCGCCATGCTTGGTTTCACTTCTCCAGGCCTCCTTCTTCCCAGTAACGCTGCCTAGGGCCTGGCTTCTCAAGCAGAGGAAGTCCCAGCAGGGAAGGGCCTGGGGCAGGCGGAACTCGGGTCTGACCCAGTCTCTGGACACGTGAGAGCAGGGACCCCAGCCCGTGGGGCTCCGAGAGCTCTGCACCCATGATGGCCCTGCGGTCACCGTGCCCTGCCGTCCCTCCCTCCCCGCGCCCTGGGCCCACACTCCAGCTCAGGCCTCTTCAGCTTTGGCCTCACCCTCTGAAGTTGCCCCTGAACTCGCTTCCCTGCTTCACTTTGCTTCCATCGGGGGCTCAAATCTGATTATACTCCCCCCACGTAAAGACATTTTCCACGGCTCCCCGCTGCTTTCGCAGAAAGTCCGGGCTCCTGGCTTTGGCGCTGAAAAAGTCCATGACCTAGCCCCAAGCCCCCTTTTAGAACAAGTTCTTGCTTTCTCCCCCTCACCACACGTGATCAGAGCATCACTTCTGCCCCAGGTGCCCCGGCTCATCCTGACCGTCTCTCTGAATGCCCTTGCCTCATCCCATTCCCCGCCTCGCCAATTTTCTGAGTCTTCAAGGCCCAAACAAATGCTCCCTCTCCTGTGGATTCTACCAGAACCCTCAGGTGTTGGTCCTGGGGCCACACCACTGATGCTCACCCCACTCTGCCTGCATTAGAGCTGCTTGCACATGTGATCCTCTGTGACCCTCTGAGTTCATCACAGACAGACCCTGGATCTGGGGCTTTCTGCAGCCCCCAAGTCCCGTTCATTCCACAGCCTCTCTCTGATGTGCCCCGCTGGTAACTGACCACCCAGTATCCTGGCATCAGGGATCCCAAACCCTCCAGGTGCCACCTCTGAGCTCCCAGGCTAGGTGGCACCTTCCTCATCTGGCTGCATCTCTCTACCTGGCAGGAATCTTGATAGTAAGCTTCTCCCTGTGCCCTATAAGATGGTCATTTTTTTTATTTTTATTTTTTTAAATATATTCTTACTTGAATTCAGAGAAGAAGGGAGAGCGAGATAGAAACATCAAGGATAGAGAGAAACATCAAGGATAGAGAGAAACATCAAGGATAGAGAGAATCATTGAATGTCTGCCTCTTGCATGTTCTCCCCTGGGGACCAAGCCCACAGCCCAGGCATGTACCCTTGACTGGATTCAAACCTGGGACCCTTCAGTCCACAGGCTGACGCTCTATCCACTGAGCCAAACCGGTTTCTGCTAGAGATGGTCATTTCTGAGTTCAGTAACTACGAAGTTGGCCTCCCCGTCCCTGGGTTCCCAAACTCCACCCAGAAGGTCCTGCTCATAGTTGGTGCTTAGTCAATTTTGAATGAATCAGGGATAGAGAAAAGAAGGTTGAATTTTGAATGAGTGAATGAGGAAATGACTGACAGAGGAGGTTGACCCCTGGGGCCTAGAGGAAGGAAGGCAGATGTGCAAGGTTTGCACGGAGCCCGCTGTCCCACAAATACCCAGCAAGCGTAGGGACCAGGCCAGGCTGCCCATCCTCCCCAACCTCACCCCACCATTCCACCCAGAACCTTCAGGCCTTTGCCTGAAGGCCCAGGCCTGCTGTCCTCACTCGCCCACCCACCCATGTGCACACTCTCAATTTGGGGCTGGACTGGGAAGCTAGGTTGGCATGGCCAGGGGTGAAGACGGCGGGGATATGACGCGTCACAGGAAGAAAGCTTGCAGGACAGCCAGTGGGCAGCTGGGCAGGGCTGCCCGGGAAGCCTGTCCCTCCTCACCTGCGATGATGAACCAGTTCATGTAGTTGAGGAGGTTGATGTAGCAGAGCACTGCCGCAGCCACATACGCTCTCCAGCGGGGCAGGCTCCAGGGGGCAGGCGTGGCAAGAGGAGGACACTGACCTGAGCCAGAGGCCCCTGAGTGCCCGCCTGACCCCGGGGACCTCTCAGGCCCCTCTGGCCCCGGCTCCTGGAGCTCCGCAGACATGCCCCACAACCTTGCTGGCCTGCAGCTCCTGTCCGAGGAGGCATACAGCTCTGCACCGAGTCACTTCCTGTGGGTTCCAGCCGCCCAACCTCAAAGCAGCTGCCCTAACTGCTTGAGCATCTTATCACAGGTTCCTGCTGAGCCCACCACAGCCTCGGTGGTGAGATTTCACCATCCCCTGCCCCAGAGGCTGCTAGACGGGAAGGGGGCTCCTGCCCCACCCCCCACCCTGGGCGACTGAATGCCATGGCCATGGCCCTGTTGATCTAGTCTGCGGGCGTTGATCTAGTCTGCGGCTGTGGAGGCTGCCGTGACTCTCGTGAAGAAGAGAAGCCTCACAGGACAGGAAACAAGATGAGACTCCTGGATGTGGGATGATCTGGCTGCCCACACGAGAGATGTGAACCAGGGACTTGCATCTGGGTCAAATCAGCCCAGAGAGCAGCGTTGGGCAGCACCTATTCCTGAGTGATGCCCCCCTGGAGAGACAAGGATGCAGATGGGCTGGCTGCAGGAAGACAACCTGTGGGCAAAACTCATCAATGGATAAAAGATCTAGGGGGCCCTAACCTGTTTGGCTCAGTGAATGGAGCATCAGCCTGCGGACTGAAGGGTCCCAGGTTCGATTCCAGTCAAGGGCTGTACTTAGTTGCAGGCACATTCCCAGTGGGAGGTGTGCAGGGGGCAGCTGTTGGATGTTTCTCTCTCATCGATGTTTCTAACTCTCTCTTCCTTTCTCTCTGTAAAAAATCAACAAAATACATTTTTTAAAATCTAGGGGGAAATACTTTTAAACAATTTTTTTAAATTTTTCATTCACACTTAATATTCAACATTTGTTTCAGATGTACAACCCAGTGATTAGACATTTAGATAACTTACAAAAATCACCCCGATAAATTTAGTACCCATCTGACACCATACATACTTATTACAATACTAGAGGCCCAGTGTATGAAATTTTTGCTCAGGTAGGTCCTTATCAGCTGCTGGCTGCAGGCCGGGGCCTCCCTTCCCAAGGTTGGTTGACCAGCCCCACCCCCTGGTCAAACTCCGATTGAACTCCTGGTAGAGGGGACAATTTGCATGTTAGGCTTTTATTATACAGGATTATTGACTCTTTTCCCTCTACTGAACTTTCCATCCCCATGACTGTTTTGTAATTACTAATTTGTACTTCTTAATCCCTCTCCCTCTTTCACCTATCCTCCCACCGCCCTCCCATCTGGCAACCAATGAGTTTGTTTCTATTTTGTGTGTTCATTTGTTTTGTTTCTTAGATTCCACATTAAGTGAAATTACTTGGTATTTGTCTTTGACTTATTTCACTCAGCACACTACCCTCGAGGTTCATCTTGCAGACGGTAAGATTTTGTTCTTTTTTGTGGTTGAGTCATATTCCACCATATATCTGCACCACTTCTTGTGCAGGGTCGTTCTATATCTCTTGTTATAGCCTTTGTTTTAAAATCTACTTTGTCTGGTATAAGTATTCCCCTGGCTTTGTTTATTTGTTTAATTGTGCCCTTTTTCATGAAATATCTTTTTCCATCCCTTTACTTTTAGTCTGTGTGTGTGTCTTTCCATCTGAAGTCTTTTATTGAGAGCATATATAATAGTCTTGTTTTATTTACCCATTTAGCCATCCTATGTCTTTTGATTGAAGTTTTTAATCCATTTGTATTTAAAATAATTGTTGACCTAACCAGTTTGGCTCAATGGATAGAGCGTTGGCTTGTAGGCTCAAGAGTCCCAGGTTCTATTCCGGTCAAGGGCATGTATCTTGGCACACCCAGTAAAGAGTGTGCAGGAGGCAACTGATCGATGTTTTTCTCTCATTTATGTTTCTAACTCTCTATCCCTATCGCTTCCTCTCTGTAAAATATCAATAAAATGTATTGATATTTTTAAAAAAAAAAAAAAAAAAAAAAAAAAAGAACCACCATCTTGCCAAAACGGGTTTGGCTCAGTAGATAGAGCATCGGTCTGTGGACTGAAAGGTCCCAGGTTCGATTCCAGTCAAGGGCATGTACATTGGTTGCGGGCGCATCCCTGGTGGGGGGTGTGCAGGAGGCAGCTGATCGATGTTTCTCTCTCATCGATGTTTCTAGCTCTCTGTCCCTCTCCCTTCCTCTCTATAAAAAAATCAATAAAATATATTTTAAAAAGAACCACCATCTGAGCATGGCTGAAAACTGATGATGTTGTAGCAATTCTTGGCTTGCTGTTGGCATGTCACTGGGAGGGATGTAATCCCCTAGCCACGACTGCGATGGAGGAACTGTTGTGCAGGGGCTGACCCCATGGAGCAGGATTTGCCTTAGCAGAATTCTGATGCCTGCTGAGCCTGCCTTTGGATGTGTCATTTGGAGGTGGTTGGCTGATGCTCTCATGTGGTCTAAAGCTGGCCACCAGGTGTACTGGGGCCTCTTGGGGGTTGCAAGCCAAGGTATGCATAGGGCCACCTGGTATGAGTTACAAAGGGATCTGCAGATGGTTGCCACTTGTGCTGGGAAAGGCCAAGCTGTGAACTGAGGCCAGCTGCCACTCACGCTGGCTTAGGGTTACTTAGCAAGAATACGGGCACACAGAGGTCAGATGTTACTGGTTTGGGGTTGGTAAACCTTGGTGAGGTTTTAGGAAAGTCCAAAACATGTGTCAAGACAGACTGTTAGTATGGAAAAGCCACTAGAAAGCTTAGATGGGCCACTCGTTGGGTGGGGCAGGGTCTCATGGAATTACCAGGGCTGAGCAAATAGTGTTAGCCAGTTGATGGAGACCCAGATATGGCACCCACCTGCAAGCTCTGTGGGAGAAGGGTCCAGCAAAAGAACAATGGCTTCTGCCAGCATCTCTGTCAGGGAGAAAGCTGCCCTTCCAGCCCTTGCTCCAAAGCCAGACAATTCAGTTCCTCCCCTTATGTTCCTGGCAGCTTTTGAGCTGCTGTGCCAGTGCTAGAGTTCAGAGTGAGTCTGTGCCTGGGCCCTTTAAGAGAAATGCCTGGGCCCTTGCTGGTTTGGCTCAGCAGATAGAGTGTTGGCATGTGGACTGAAAGGTCCTAGATTTGATTCCTGTCAATGGCACATGCCCGGGGAAGTGGGCTTGATCCCCAGTAGGGGGCATGTGCAGGAGGCAGCCAATCCGTAATTCTCTCTCATCATTGATGTTTCTGTCTCTCTCTCTCCCTCTCCTTTCCTCTTTGAAATCAATAAAAAAATATATATATTTTAAAACAAAACAAATACAAGAAAAACAGGAGTTGGCCCATCATAATTCACTTGTCTGCTTGCCTCTATAAACTGACTAATACAGAAGTTCATCTGAGATTATTTTTCATGGAGGCCCTTCCAGAGGGGATCCCAATCTAATTTAAATGTGTGTTTTTGTTGTGTTGTTTTTAACAAGAGAAATATTCGGCCTTGCTGAATAAGAGGTGAGAGGAAATCACCCAGGAATCAGTCGTCAGAAATTCACAGAGTCTTCTTTTGGCTGCGAGCTACAGCTGCAGGCCCACAGCAGCTGAGCCAGGACATTAATCATCTCACAGGAGAGGTCGGGCAGCAGGAGGCTTCAGGACTGGTTAACGCGGAGGCACTATGACATCAGCGAAGACGCCAGCATTTTCCGCCTTTCCTTTCTGAACTCTTCAGGGCTGGCCTTGGACCACTTATCTTTCGGGCATAACAAAACTTATAACTTTGAACAACCACGGATGTCTATTACCTCTTGTGGTTTCCGGGGGTCAGGAATTTGTGAGCGGCTTATTGGATGTGCGGCCTCAGGGTATCTCATGGAGCTGCAACGAGAGGTCCTCTCTGGGCCTGAATGGAGCTGCAGGTCCATCCCCAAGGTGGCTCGCTCACATGGCCGGCAGGTGGGCGCTGGCGTTCGGTTCCTCTCCACAGCACTGCTTGAGTGTCCTCACAGTGTGGGATGCATCCTTGAATGTTCCTACAGTATGGTGGCTGGCTTCCTCCCCAGGAAGCAGTCCAGCAGGGACCAAGGCCGAAAGGTCACCTTCTGTCATGACCTCGCCTCCCGGTCTGGATTCCATTGTAGTCTCTTGGTCGTAGTCTCTTGGTTGTAGTCTCTTGGTTGTAGTCTCTTGGTTGTGTAGTCTCTTGGTTGTAATCTCTTGGTCGGCCCTCACTCAAGGTAGGAGGGACCACCCAGGGCATGAACACCCGGAGGGGCCGCTCACTGGAGATGGGCTGGCAGGCTGGCTAGTGGCCTTCCTCCTGAGGCTTGTCATCTCGCCGGTGAGAAGGAGGGAGATTTCTCTGGAAGTGTGTCCACGTGTGCTGATCAGGGAGGAAGCTCTTTCCTAGAAATCCCCCTCCGCACTGAGCACTCGCTGGCCAGGTCTGATTCACCTGTCGGTGCCCCAGCTGCGAGAGCAGCCCGGAGGGTGGCCCCGCAGGAGGCTGCCTGTTAGTGAAGGGAAGCGCCGCTGGGTGAACGCCTGTCTTCCAGAGACTGCTGCCCACCTCAGCGCCTGGGAGGGTCACCGCCTGCAAGAGTGACCGAGCCACCACACTCCGAGGGAACGAAGTGTAATTCGAGCCTTGCTGTTGGGAGGTTTTTTATACAAGATCCTGGGGTGGGTTACTGAGGAGGAAAGGAAACGTTGAGGTTCTGAGTGCATCAGGAGGCCTCAGATGCCAGAAACTGTCCTAACCCAGGGCCCCTGAAGCGAGGAGGCGCCCTAGCTTGTGGAAAGTGCACAGGAAGGAGCACTGCTGAACACGGGGAGCTGCAAGCGTGGGATCTCAAGGCCCAGAGGGACTGACTGGGTAGCAGAGTTTATAGCACTTTTTCCAAAACAGACACATCCTTCACCAGCAAGTCCTGTGGACTAGGCTTCAATAGCGACACCATGTGGTCATAAGAAGGAACAGCAGTCATGAACCATTCCAGGCGTGGAGTAAGCCCTCCAAGTTCCGGGATAATTCAGGGTGGTCTCAAGATACTGGATTCCTGGCTAAGAAGACACGTGCAGG